GGGAACGAAAAGAAAGGGAAGGGAAAAGAAGGAAAGGAAAGGGAAAGAAAGGGAAGGAAAGAGAAAAAAAGGGAAGGGAAGGGAAAGAAAAGGAAGGAAAAGGAAGGGAAGGAAAAAGAAGGGAAGGGAAGGCAGAGCAACTCGCTATATTTAGAACAAAACGAAGCAGCACCAGCTGGATTCCGAAAGCCAAAGGCCTCCCTTGGGGAGCATCTCGCCCTGGGAACCCAGCCATGGAAAGGCCCTTGCAAATCAGAGAGTTCTGCAGCCCACAGGAAGAGCGTCCCTCCAGGAAGCTGCCAAGATGTCAGCTGAAGGAGCCAAGCTTGCCAGCCTCTTGTCTGTTTCCTTCCGGAAAGGCTTAGGCTGGGAATGGGGAGCAGGAATCCTTTGGGAAGGGTGGGGGGAAAGGGGAAACACTCCAATCTCCAGCCTCCTCCCCCCGCCACCCCAAACTGTTATAATTTACTAGCTAATCCAGGGAGCAAAATGAGCAAATCTCAGTGCGGCTCCTTCACTGGGGTTGTGTGTGTGTGTGGGGGGGATTAAAACAGAAGCAGGGTTAAAAAGTGGATGACCTCCAAGGTCCCTTCCAGCTCTCTTCTGATCGATTGATTGATTGACTGTCATTCACATTTCGTCTCCCCTTTTGCATTCTGAATGATTTTGATCCTTAATGATTTTATTCCACCATTTCTTTGATATTAGTGTAAGTTGGCAGCAAGTTGTCCCACAGTAAGTTGCCCATGGGAAGTTGGCCATGTTGAGTTGGCCATGGGAAGTTGGCCATGGTGAATTGGCCATGGGGAGTTGGCTATGGGGAGTTGACCAAGGTGAGTTGGCCAATGGGGAGCTGGCCATGATGAATTGGCCATGGTGAGTTGGCCATGGGAACTTGGTCATGTTGAGTTGGCCGTGGGAAGTTGGCCACGGGGAGTTGGCTATGGGGAGTTGACCAAGGTGAGTTGGCCAATGGGGAGCTGGCCATGGGGAGTTGGCCATGGGAACTTGGTCATGTTGAGTTGGCCGTGGGAAGTTGGCCATGATGAGTTGGCCTAGGGAACTTGGCCATGGGAACTTGGCCGTGGTGAGTTGTCTCATTTCTTCCCCCTTGAGCCCAGCTCCTCACCTCCCGCCCTCCTTCTCCAGCTTCTCGATCATGGCCTTGCGCGCCTGCGAGGCGGACATCTTGGGCATGGCCTGGGCCTTCATGATCTCCTTCTTCCTCTCGGCTTGGCGCCGCTCCAAATCAGCTAGACTGCTCCCAGACCTGGGGCTTGGATCCTCCCTTTCGAAGATGCTGCACCAAGGGGGTGGAAGAAAGAGGACAAAAATGACAAATTCAGCTCCAAGTACTTGGAGGGTTATTTATTAATTCAATTAAATAGCATCCGTTGTCTGTCCCCTCCACCCC